GGGGGATTCCATATCGGACACTGGAAACTTGATCCGAGAGGACCCTTTATCTCCGTTCGCTAGGCTTCCCTACGGTCAAACCTTCTTCAAGAATGCGACGGGGAGATGCTCCAATGGCTTACTCATGATCGATTATCTAGGTACTTTCTAGCTTTCTTTTTCTTTTTGGGTCTCATTCGATACAGAAAAGAAAATTCGTTTCTATAACTAAAAATCATTCAAGATAGAGTTAATAAAATCCCTGCTGATCAAGAAAAACAAGTTAAATAAAGGGAACCTGTCGGATCGGTAACTGATAGAGCACTACTTTATGGTGAAGAACTAATATGCATGTTTCTTTTTATAAACTTTTTGAAATAAGGAAAAGAATCAACAACGTGACCAACTGACAATGTTATTTGCAAAAGTTTCCAGCTCAATGTGATTTAACCCCTTTTTTCTTTATTGATTCTTCATTTACTTTGTGAGAGAGATACTGTCGCATAAATACAGTTACTTTGATGCTCTTTACGTAGTTCTAATTATGCCAGTCTTTGATTAGTGGAGTGTGACGAGATTCTTCTATTCCTTGGTTGAGTTACTTGATTATCATCATTAAAGAGTTTTAGCTTTGAAAAAGTCACCGAAAAGCTCATGATATTAGTCTTACGATGCAGGCTAATCACCTTAATTATGGTTCTTTTTATATGTGTCTACCTTCCGCGAAGTTCGCATATTATATTCAACATAAAACCTAAACTAGGGCTTGTTGTTTATCTAACAAACGTAATTGCGGTTGTACTTTGACAGCTCTGTCTGCTGGAATCCCCTTTCTTGAACCCTACTTAAACAGTGATGCACTATTCACTCGTGGCCGTGGGGTGAACTTCGCGGTTGCTGGCTCCACTGCTTTACCTGTGGAAACTCTAGCTGAGAATAATGTTCTAGCCCCAGTTACCAACAGTTCTCTTAGTAGGCAGCTTGATTGGATGTTTTCCTATTTTAATGGCATATGCCGCGATGAAGAAGGTTAGCACCCCTTTCTAAAACAAAACCCAAATAATTTTCTAATCAAGATTTAAGTTCATGTATTACATTAATTATATACGGTTACTAACAATGACATGTATTATGTTTTCTTCTATAGATTGTGTCAAGAAACTTAAAACAGCTCTTTTCATGGTTGGAGAGATTGGAGGAAATGATTATAACTATGCTTTGTTTCAAGGCAAAACCTTTGAAGAAGTTAGATCCATGATACCTAAGGTTATTCAAGCCATAAAAGATGCAGTAACAGTAAGTTTTTTTGAAACAAATAATGATCATCTACCTTTTCTCTTAATAACTTAATATAATTATTTTAGTACTGACCATGTTCTTATTGTACATTGCAGAGAGTTGTTGGTTATGGTGCTACTCGAGTGATTGTCCCTGGAAACTTTCCTATAGGTTGTTTGCCAATCTACCTCAGTGGATTCCAATCCAGTGATTCCACCGCTTATGACAGATTTCATTGTCTAAAGGGCTTGAACAACTTGGCAATCCATCACAATAACCTTCTCAAACATGCCATCAAAGAGCTGAGGAAAGATCTCCCTAATGCCATCATAGTATACGGTGACTACTACAATGCATACCAAAAGCTTTTGCGCAAAGTTGAACTACTTGGTGAGTTTCTTTTACATTGATAAATATACTTGAGAAATATCGCTTGTACTAGAATGAATTGTTCTGATTTGTATCTACTGTTTTGCATAAAATATGAGCAGGTTTTGACACCAAATCGACTCAAAAAGCTTGTTGTGGGATTGGAGGTGATTACGACTTCAGCCTTACCAGAATGTGTGGAGCACCTGGCGTGCCAGTGTGTTCAAATCCTGATCAATATGTGAGCTGGGATGGAGTTCATTTGACACAAAAGGCTTACAAGTTCATGGCAGGCTGGCTCATTCATCACATCTACCCGCAACTTCAATGCCGTGCTTGACTTGGTTTTGTTAATTAGTATTCGTAGTACATATATATTCAACAAAATTTCAAAATATCAAGGGAGATATATGATAGATTCTTCAAGTAGGTTTGAATTTGTTCTAAATTACCATATCTCATATATGTAGTCTTATTGTTATTTTTTTTTCTTTATTTTCTTTTTCTTTTTCTTTAAAGTATGTACTATTCATTAATTGATAGTAGTAATTATATAAATGGTGTTGATTCAACCATAAAGTTGATCATAAATTTTCTTTAATTGTCAGACAGTTTATCCATCCTTCATGGAGGCTTTCACTTTGAAGCAATAATTCAAAAGCTTTGCTAATATCCTGCAAGCTCGCTTCATGTGTTATCAATGAATCCTTCTATATTGTGCTCCTATGATTTATAAGTAAAAAAGACTAACAACAATTTGCCAAGATAAAATATACAAGAATATATATATATATATATATATATGAATGTGGTTTGAAGAATATCAAACTTTTGAAGAATATGCTGCCCTTTTATAATTATTAGATTAGTAATTAATTTTTATTATAATAATTTTAAAATTACACTTAATATTTTAAAAATGACTATGATAGGACATTGTTATTCATGTGTACCGAGGAGGCAGGGAACCAGGTTTGAACTTTATGGGCCCCACTTAAGCACACACCCATAGCCCAGATATAGAGCCCATTAGCCAACGAATCAGGCCCAACTTTGCACCCGTTGTTCCAAACAAACCTTGATTAACTCTACCACTCGTTTATTTATTTATTTCTTTATTTATTTTGAATTTTGTAATTTTTTTTCAATGAGGAGTTCAAATTCATATTCTTTAAATAAAAAAATTATACATTAATCAATGAATCAAATGTTGGAGTGTTTTTAATTTATTTTTTATAATCAATGAGTCAAACACATTGACTCTTAATAATATATTTAAACTAAAGATATATAAATTAAATAAACAATATGAAATCAATATAATGATTTATCAAATATTTCAATATAAATCTCTTATATAAAAATCTGGAAGTTGAAATTGCAATTTGCTAATATTATAAGGGGATATTGATGACCCTGAAAAGTTAGGTGGATAGAGTAGGGTTAGATTTGCCTTGGTCAGAATCCCATTGTTAAATTCTCTTATGAGTTGTTTTTACCAATTGAAGTAACAAAAAAGAGTGCCAAATTTCTTTGTTGTTATTCGTTTAATTGATAGAACAACATAGGCATTAAGCATTAGGCAACCCAATTTAATTATCCATCCAAATGATACAACGCAGGCTTTTTCCTTGAAGCAGTAACTCGAAGGCTTTGTTGATATCCTGGAAACTCACTTCATGCGATATGAATCCATCCAGATTCAGCTCCTGCTAAGTAGACAGAGTTAACGTCAACTTGCCAATTTATGAACAGAGCAAGTAATTAAAAGGCACAAGCATGAGTGTTTTTTAACCTTGTCAAGATATTTTTCAGCAAGGAGGGGAATGTCAGATTTGGGTTTAAACCCTCCAAATAAACAGCCGGTGACACTTCTGCCTCGTAGAAGCAAATATGTGTTGAGAGCTAATGGCGTGCCATGCATCTCCACTCCCAATATCACTGTCTTGCCCCATCCCTTCGTTTTTCACCAAAACGACCATGAAATTTTAGCTTTTTGAAGAAGGGAAAGGAAATATGACAGGATTGACTTAACATGAAGGGTACCTCTCTGTTACTATTGAAAGCGTCTTCCATCAGGGACGCCAACCCAATGCACTCAAAGCAATAGTCAGCTCCCCCATCTGTCATTTCCTTAATCACCTGAACATGTATAACAATTTTAATTTTGGGACATTCAGGTTTTTCTTAAAAGAACTTTTTCTTGTCGAATTTAAGTGTTTGGTGATTTGAAGCCATCAGGATTTAGTTGGTGACAAAAAGGAATTCTCATTCACGTCTTTGATTATGTAATACAATTTCCAACTAATTTATTCTTGTTTGTGTTATAATCCTTTGGCTACTAACCTCGCTGACTTTTCTCTCTCCACAGGTCTCTGGGTTGATAAAATCGGTGACTCCAAATGCTTTCCCTGTCACACAAAAGAAATAGTTTGAACAGAAATCCTGATGCTGGTGAAAATCGATTGACTATTTCTAATTCAAATCACCAGATCAAAAATGGAATTTGTAACGCTTTATGAACATAATTAAGAAGAATTGTGTGATCAATAGATAGCTTACCTATCTCAAATTTTTCCGGATTCAAATCTACACCTATAATCTTCGAAGCTCCGCGTAACCTTGCTCCTTCTGCAACCTGATATGCAATACTTTGTAAGTGTAATTTAGTTGTTGCAACTTGCACAGTGACACAAATTAAAGGAATACATAGTCCTGGTGGTGGCATGCTCTCAAAGGGAATTAATTTGCTAGCATAGAATAAGCAGAGCATGGTTTGGGCAGGGATTGAACAGATGTAATTGGGTTTGTACAAGTACCGCAAGGCCAACAGCTCCCAGCCCAAAGATGGCGACTGTGGAGCCCGCCTCAATGTCTGCCACCTTCCATGCTGCTCCTATCCCTGTTTCCGACAGTATTATACGAGCAAAAAGATGTCAAATGTTTGCGCCAATAACAATTAGTAACTCTTGCTGACTCAAGTTATATGTGTCCTTTTTCCTTTCTACTTGGGAAGTGGAGATTAGAACTTATCATCATTGCCCACTTGGCAGCAACGTCAAACGAGTGAATCTCTTAGTCAAAAAAAAAAAGAAGAAGGAAAAAACAGTGGCTCTTGTGTTTCTTCATAACAGAAAGAAAAATAGTTTACTTTTCGATTCTGGTATATTGAAATTTGATAAAGTTGTGGCCAATATAGGGTAGGCACTAGATGAAAAGGGCCTTTTGCAATTATAATACCCGCCACAAAATTCAGTAGTGATGAAGCATTCAGAATTCTAATTATCAAGGTCGTCCTCTAAATGAAATATTTACTTCGCAAAACAAAGAGTAAAGTTTTTACTTGAATTGATAGATACGTGTATAGCTATAACCAAACCTAAATCCGCACAGAAACAAATAAACCTTATAGGTATCATTGGTTATAACTGCAGTGTATATCATATAGTCTTTTGTCTCCGTTAACTTACCAGTTGATACTCCGCAGCTAAGCAGGCAGGCTTTATCAACGGGAATGTCCGATGAAATCTTGACAACATGAGCCACATCCACCACTGTGTACTCAGTGAAGCTGGACACGAACAAGAAATGGTGCAAAACCTCCCCATTCATCCCCTTGAATCTACTTGTTGCATCCCTTGGCATGTCTGGGTTCAATCTATAGCCAAACGCTGAGCAACCATTGCCCTTTTGGGACTTGCAGTCCCTGCATTCTCTGCAATTCGGATGGAACACTGGCAGCACCAAATCTCCTTCCTGCACTTCCTTCACATGCTCCCCTACACTCTCAACAACACTGGAACCCCTCCAAAAAAGACAGTTATGATCACATCCTGAACATTAAACACTGGCAATGATTTAATTCAGACAAGAGCAGGTAGGTGCAGTTGAATTACCCGACAGCTTCATGCCCAAAAATTCTGGGAAAAATCGCAAACGGCCCCTAGAGAAAAAACAATGTGGTAATCCTTTTTTCAAACAATGTGGTAATCCTTTTTTCAAACATATAGAGAAAAGTGAAAGTTCTAAAATAAAAATAGAGAGGGGAATTACAGTGGACATTTTCCAGAAGGTAATATCAGTATGGCAAAGAGAAGTGCACAGAATCTTGACCCGAACCTCCCATGATTTAGGTGGCTCAACTTCAATTTCTTCTATTACAAGTGCTTCTCCTGGATTTCTGCTTACTGCAGCTGTTTATATCATAGAAACATAGAAAACACCAAAAAAAAAAAAGATGAGACCATAAAAGAAAAACAGAGAATCCTCGTAACAAAAGACCGGTAAGCCAAAAAGTCTATAACGATGACCAATGTTCTAAGAAGAACATCAAGAGAACCTTTGCATCTTATAGCTTTTCCTGCAGTTACAGACCCTTTATGGTTTTCCATAGCTGGTTGCTTCTTCTTGGACCAAAATCAAGAGAGGGGGGAGTTTTAATTTCTTGGCTTCTCCTCTCTTCTCCTTTGCTTCAGTTTCCACGGTTAGTACTTACGTTTTTATAATGCTACTGATATAAAAGTTCAACGTTGTAGAATAATAGTGTGATAAACTGAGGTTACAAATTTTGTTGATTTCTTCTCCAAATGAGAAATGTCTTCATACAATTATAATACTAATTGTCAGGTTGTGCGTTGGCCCGTCTTTGTCCAATTCCTACTTGTACATCCACTGAACGTTCCACCTAAAATCCAAACAAGAAATGTAATTAAAAATATTGCTATTTTTTTTCCCTTGCTCTTATGTTGCTGGTTGCGATTATGCTGTTCTTAGTTAATCCCATTCTACAATGATATAATTAGCCACGATTTTTCTGGCACATGCCTCAACCGTTGGAAAAGGTCTTTGACTTCTCGTCAGATCTATGTCATCGACTGTACAGCATTTGGTTGGTTCTTAAATGTCAGCAGTCGAGCACCAAATATCTCACACGGCAGGCCAATCATCAAATTACATGTAAGAGTGGCTGACTCCCTGCATTTTCAGCATGTCGTCGCCGGCTCTAAGTAACCAATACATTTTCCAGCGAAAATAATTTATGAGTAACACTTTACATCTCCCCTTCTTGGCGTCTTCTTTGAAGTAGACTTTTCCGGGATGACGCTTTCCTAATAAATAAAATGTAACTAGAAGTTGACTTTTTCAGGGCGAAAGATTGAATTTAGGGATGGAGTTAGCTAATTTCGTTGGAGCGGTCAAAGATAAAAAAAGTATAAAGATTATTTTTTTAAAAATTAATGTGTTAAATTTAAAAAATAATTATAAAATTTATAATAAGTAATAATTTTATATAACATGTAAATTAAAAAAATAAAAAAAATTTATAATAGTTTTTTAAGAACTAAATTTTACTTGAAAAATACATATTTCTTCATAATTAAACCTAAGATGTTTTGATTTATATTACTCTTATTCATGATTTGAAGCATTGAGGTTTAATGGTTCAAGTATAAGAGAATTCTTTGAATGATTTGCATCTTTTGTTTTAAAAAATTTATCAATTTTTTTCAATTTACTCATATTTTAATTAAATTTAAATTTTTTTTAAAAAAGTGATTTTATATTGAACCTCTAATCGATCAAAAACTCTTAAACTTGATATGAGTGTGAAAACTTATACACTTACAAGGAAAAAATCACTTGAAAATTTTGATGGTTGCTGGAAAAGAACAAAAACGCCCAACAAAAAAAAAAAAGATAGTACTGAGACCATTAACATAAAAAAACCTAAAACCATATTCTAATCCCGATTCAACTAAGATTTAATATTTTTATTTTATTTCTATTTAAACTTAAGTTATTAAATATAAAATTATAATGCATAAAATATAAATGGTTAGATATGATATCCAAGATTTTACATAATAATTAAATAATATAAATTAAAAAATAAAAAAAATTTATCTCTTTTTAATTTCTCACAATAGTGGTAAGCAATCTCATTATTCCCTATCTAAACTCAAAAACTTACAAATATCTTTTGAGGAATTAAGTGTGTTTTAAAGATGAGTCACAAAGAAAAAATTAAAGTAAAAATAAAAGAACGAAAGAGGAGAGAATGAGAAAAAGAAAGAAGAAGAAAGAGGTGCAAAGAAAGATAAAGTTAATTAGGGTTTGTACGGTCATTTATTATCTTTTATTTGTATTAATATTAAATAAAAAAATATTTTGAAGAATCTATTAAAAAAATATATATATAATAAATAATTTCACAAATTTTAGAAAGGAATATTAAAAATATATATAATAAATAAAAATTTTCAAAAAATTGGAAAGGACTATTAGAATAAATATAAATATATAATAAAAATTTTCAAAAATTTTGAGGGCAGTGAATTGCATTACCCTCCGCCCTGATTGTATTATTTCCTCTGTGTTTGGTTAAGAAGGTAAGCTGCACAAGTCATCTTATTAAGAAACTGAACATCTATCATCAGTCTAAACTTCCCAGCACGCACAAACAAAACCAATCTCTTGTATTAATTATGTGATTTTGGGAAGATAATGCCATTAAACCACGTTCAATGACATTTGGTTAGTAAGAGCAGGTTGTCCATCATTTTCAAGCTCGGCAGAAACGTAGGCAGATTGCATTATATATTTCTGGTATACAATTAGACTTCATTAATGTCAATTTATATATATATATATACACACACTTAAGGAACACACCCACATTTTTATAACCATTAATTAGAGGAATTGAAAGTTCTTTAATCCTCTCACGTTTTCTAATAAATTCTCAAGAAAATCGAACTAAATGATATAAGATCAGGAATCTGAAGATATGTCAGCTCATTAACTTTTTGTTTTGCCCTGAGAATTAATTTTTTCAACTTTGAGAATGTCTTATTACATTAGCTTAAGAATATATATTAGAAAAACTAAACGGAAAACAGTAACTTAAACAATGCTAATAAGATATACTGAATCAAGAAAATTAACGTGTTTCACGCCGGCTTAAAGGCTTGGCATGTTAGGATTTTTCTTTTGTTTTTTTGGCCGATTGCTTGACATGTTAGGATTGGGTATGTGATGGATGAAAATTTGAGGATAATGGTTTATTTGTCTAATCAGATTATGCGGGATATGTTGGACCCCAAAAACATATATAAATGACAAAACATTATCCTTGCTGGGGCCTTGTCTACAGTAAGATCAACCTTATTATATGTTGCAATCCCTACAACAACAGCTTGAGTGAGTTCAATCCTCCGTTGTGATGAATCTCTCTCTGCAAAACCAGTGGTTTTGATGTTAGCGCTGGACTCTACAACCTCGTTAATGAGGAAAATGTCATTGTAATTTTAGTTCATATGTTGCCTGAAGTAACAGGGTATTCTGCTGATAGAGTGAAGCCTCAAGTTTTAGCTTACAATCTTTAGAAATAGGTTGAATATGTAGCATTTCATGACAGTAAATACATCTCTTCGTGGCATTCAATCTACAACTGCTTAATTTGAATTCAACTTCTGAAACTAATCCAATTGCAAACAAATTCCTGAAACTTTGACGTCTTGTATAATGTAAAAGTCTTGACAGTAAAACTTTGACGTCTTGTATAATACAATATCCATGACTTTGTGTCTCTTTGTAGATACTGGCCGTAATTACTTGTGTCTGATGCCAATAATGGAACCTGCAAAGAGGGAGAATTCATATCCACTAGTGATTACAGAACAGTGAAGGCTTACACAAAGTTCAATTCAAAACCTACTAAATGCTTATCCTGGCATGGAAACTGTAGTATAATACCAGTCAGTGAAAGACGCGTTTTCTGATATCCTTAGCGAGCACTGCAGAGCATTGAAGGGAACAGCGCGAATGGCATGGGCTGCAATGGTGTTTCTCTTTATCCTAGTATTTTTGGTTTGATATGGACAGCACAAGCTCGTCATGAGCTGGAACTTCATTCTTTGGACGGGCTTTTGCTCGAGGATTGGGCGTACTGGTCTGGACCCAGTATGCTTGAGAGGAGGATGTCAGAAAGCTGATGCTGCTGCTTCAATCCTGGTTTGGTTTGGGCCTATGGGTCTACATCCATCCCAAACAGATTATAGCCTTAGACAAGTGAATAAAATTAGGCTTTTCTTGTCTAAATCAACTGATCAATTATGTAATTGGGAAATCCCGGGATAGATTTAACATTTCGGCTTGCGAGTTTATACTTCTCGAGTTTGAATTTGTCAACGGGGCCTGCCGGCCTGATTAGGTCAGCAAACCATCACTATGTTTTGGGTGGTTGAGGAAGTTTCAATGCATGGTAACCTCTATGATATCCTTACGTGAGTGGGAGAGGAAAAAAGATTGGATCTGTTCATTTAATTTGATGTAAAATAATTTATAAATTTTTTTTTTTAAATTTATATTTAAGATCTATTTATTTTACAGTAAAATATTTTTTAAATAATATTTTCATAACTTATATTTATTTAACAAAAAAAATTAATTCTAAATGTAAAACATTTTATGAGTTAATAAGGTAAATAACAGAAAATATCTTATGCCTTTAAAAAAGTATAAGATATTTTTCAAAGAACAACAAAAATACTTTTATACTAAGTTTATAAGTATAAGCACCCGAGCATTTAGTTTATTGGTTAGTACATTATCCCTCTACCTAAATAGCAGGGTTTGAATTTTGTTTTCCTCAATTATAAAAATAAAATATGAGTATAAATTTTATTAATATTAATATTTAATTTAAAATATTAAAAAATAAAAATATTAATATTTAATTTTAAAAAATTAATTTAAAATATTAATATTTAAATTATACAACGCTACTAAAATTAAAAAATATTATTTTAATGAAACCATTCAATACAATTAAATTTTTTATTTATAAATGGAATAAATCTTACTAATAATTATAATAAAAAATATTTCAATGATCATTATTTGATGAATACACATTTATAATAGGTTTAAATGTTACTAATAATTATAATAAAAAATATTTCAATAATTGTTACTTAAGGAATAAGTATTTATAAGTACAAGTTTTGGATATCTTACACAATTAATAAATAATTATATTTTCATAGTTATGATCAAAAAGTGATAAGATGAAATTTTTTTGAAAATTAGAGTTTATTTTCATTACAAATTTGTAGCCAAATACTTTGAGAAATATCATTTTTAGCAATTTTTATTTCCATTCTTAATTTTGATCCAAAATTAGTAAAAATCAAATATCAATATTGTTTTATACGTAACTCTTATTTGTTATTTTAACATTTAAAAAACTCCAACATAATGAAAAATGTTTTTCATAAAATGATCCAAATAACAAAAAATGTTTTTGACAGATTATCCAAACAACAGAAAATATTAAATTTTCCTGTAAAATATTTTACACAAAATTTTTTTTCTCCATCAAGTCATTTTTCGATTACTAAACAGATCATTAATTGAAAGATAAAAATTTTATTTCAAATATAAAATATTTTAGAGATTAACAGGGAAAATACATATTGATCACATAAAATATTTTATGTATTTGAAAAGTGTATGTTTTTATTAATAGTATAAAAATGCTCTTAGGCCTAGTAGTATAAGTTTAATGAAAATTAATAAAATTTTAAAATATTTTCCATTTCCATTTTCATTCTTAAATTTAATGTAAAAATCAAATAGGAGCAATATTTTGTAATCAACTCTTATTTATCCCGTAGAATAATTTAAACAATAAAAAATATTTCCAATTATTTATCTAAATAGTAGAAAATATTAATTTTTTTCATAAAAAAATCTCTCAATAAATTATTTTTCAATTACCAAACATACCTATAAAGTGAGAAAATATTGAAGAAAAATCTTTTAATTAAACATGAAACTATAAATTAAAAGATGAAATCATATTGTGAGAAATGATACACTTGTCCTTATTTTCATTTTTTATTTTTTCAGCGTTTGCTTAATTTTATTATTGAAGAAAATATCTTCTAACTTTTGGCACTAATTCAGCTGTTAACATTATTTATTAATATACGTGTGAAATAATATTATGTATTTGATATGAATACGTACACTTACTAAAGTGAGACCTATACATAAAATCATTTTTTTAATGGCATTTTTATTGTGCTAGATAATTGCGTACGGTGCATTTAAGAAATTTCTTTATGAAAGAATTTGAAAGTTAGAAAGCGTATGAAAGATGTTCTTGAGCAGTAATAATTATTGAAGACTATCTTCTCACACAATGATGGGCTGAGACTTCAATTAGATATATGATGATATCCAACATCATTCATATATCTTAAGTTAGCAGCGACTAGTGACAGCTTACTTTAATCTTGATCTAATTTCTTAATCACTGTAAAGAATATCCATTAATATTTAAATAATCATCATGACCCAGTGTCATCTTGGACTCATTCCCTGCCTTCCAAATAGCGAATGCAATAATAATCGTGGAAATTCAAGCATGTGGGCGTGTGAAACCAAATCCTCTTAAATTCGGATCATCCCCCGAAATGCAACCATTTGAACAGTTCATCATCTGCTTCTTCTTTTATTCGTTCAAACATAACATAAGATACAGTGACTGGGAATTTTAAAACTATTATCAATAAAGATTCTGAGATCTAGAAGTCAATCCACATAACATAGAATATTAGTAGTTATGAGATTAGCATAAAAAGCGTGGGGGCTTGGTTTGGTGCATATCTTTTTCCTTCTCACAGTTCAAACTATATATCGAGGCCCAGTGCGGAGAGGCCCACATGGCCCGGCAGTGACCCTACCTCTCTTTCTATTTTTATAGCTGCAGGAAAAGTCGAAAACGATTGTTCAACCTCGATGAGGAATGGCGCACAAGTTAAACAACTGGTCAAAGACTCAAAGCTAAGCTAACAGAACATGGCATGTGAATTTTATACAACTACACAGCGAGAAGTCTTTATTATTTTATTTTTTAAAAAATAGTTTTTAATCTTCTTTGTCTTTATGGTGATTTGGCCCACATCATTCCTCCCACAAACAGACAAAACTCAGTGTTGCTATCTGCTTGAGAGGGCGTTCCATTTGAAAATAACATGATTAACCATAAAATGTTATTCTAATACCAGTTATCATCCCAGTTTAATAGTATTAAACCCAAAGAAATTAAATAAATAAAAAACTATGATTAATTTGATTATTGCTAGTTTTTGTGTTTTTTTCTTGTTGAAAAGTTGCTTGCGTATATAAAAGAAGGTGCAAAAGCAAAATGGTAACAAGTTTTACCAGAAACTATTGGGAAAATTTCACACCATCAGTTGTTCTTTTAAGCAACAGAAGCTTGGAGGGAATTGTCCTCCCTGAACATGTGTTTACTACAAGCAGTCTTGTAATAAAATTTTAGTTCCATCCATCTCAAATTTGAAAAGTCAGTAAACTTGGTGGCTTCTGTAATGAACAAGTGAGAATGCTTTTAAGGTTACATACTGTACCCCGGGACTTGAAACAGCAGCTGCATCCTTTCATCGAACAAATTCATATCAAAGGGAGAAAAAGGTTAGCCGAATAAGGGCTTATGGCCTGCCTTTGCCTCTCAAAAGCGTCCCGCTTGATAATTGTTTCACAGATTCTTGTCTCTCTTTTTGTACAAGGTGCTAGCAATATGGAATAAATGATGCTAACGGGCAAAGGACTTCTGGTTGAGATTTGAGCAGTTTTTTTTTTCTTTGACTGAAATAGTTACTTGCCCTCTCAGAACTTAAGGGATTCTTCCAGGTTTCCATCCATGCTAAATTCAATCAAATCCTTCAATTCAATACGTACCAATGCCATACATTTTTGGTCATTTTCTCTAAAGACTTGTTAGAAAACAGGTGTGACTGAGTTGAGCAGACAACTCAGTGGTCAATGCAATGCAAACCATTCAAAAAATTTCTCATCTCTTAAAAGAGGATCTCTCAACACAAATTTTAAGGCTGGTTGGTTACTTTCAATCAGAGGAAAAGAGGTAAAGATATCCCACACAGAAAAATGAGGGAGATTGAGCAGATATGGGGGGACGAGAAAAATTGGGACAATGCGACTGGGAGGGTGAGCGCAGCGGCTGTACAAAAGAAAAGATCTTTTTGCAGCCTTGTTTTTGCGTCCAAAGGCAAAGAGTACGTCAGGGAATAAGGCCAACTTGGCTTGAAAATTGCGGTCCGTTCCACATTCATTCTCGTAACGGAACTTTGACCAGATTCGAAAATTCCAAGGGCAAAAAAGTGGAGTAATTATTTTTCTTGGTTGAAAAAACCGAACACCCATTAATCACACAATTAAAGAGGTTTCAATCCCCCAATAAAATTCAATTACTGTTTTCTTTTTGGCCTCCAAGTTAAGTAGGCATCTTCTTTCCTACCCATTATAGCAAAAAAGCAAAAACGAAAAGCAAAGAAAAGAAGAGAAAGATACTAGTTACCAGTAACCAAATGTGGTAAATAAGTTGATGACACAAAGATTTTACCAGGAAATGACAGCGTATATTGGTATGTTGACTGCCCTGGTGGGTGAGTCATTACTGAGTTTTGACAACAGCCCCGGGAACACGACACCTAGCAATCACAATCTACTCAAAACAGTTGCCCGGCAAAGATTAGATAAGATCGGAAGATTACACAGAGAGATATACGTGGCCTCTTTTACGGGTCATGTTTTTTTTTTTCCTTTTAAAGCCTCGAAAACCCTGAAAAATTAAAGGAAGAGAGATTATTAGACAGCGCCACAAAGGCACAGACCAAGGAGACACAGCCATATTCCCTCTTTTGCAACTTGTTTCTCTCTCTCTCTTCAAATGCTAGTAATAAAAGTCTTTTTAGACCCAGCATCTTTTGCTGTGGGAAATAATTTTCTACTTCCATGAAAGAAAACGGCCCAACTCTCTCTCCATCTTTGTCCCTACTCGCCGACCCCTTAAGTCTGCTATAGAGAGCAAGATTTGCCCACCACAAAGCACCAGAGAAATAGCTGCTGTATCACAGATTTTTAGTTTTTAGCTTACGAAAGAAATACTAGATCATTGTAGATCTAGAGAGAGAGAGAAGGGAGTAGTAGCGGGAGGAGGGTTGGGTTGTTTTTTCTTTCTCTACGTTTGATTTTATTTTAGAAATGGATAAAAGCTGTCACTCTTCTGGTGATTCCACCACCACCACCACCAATAGCACCAGTAGCTCTAACGCCAACAACATTAACAATCGAGATCATTACCTTAAACACCTCAACAAGCTTTCCCACAAGATATCCAAACCCTCCACCACCGCCACCACCAACGTCCCTCCTCTCATCAAAAAACCATCCTTTGACCAGACCCAGAACCTCACCCAGGCGCTGCCACCTCAGCAACCTCAACCCTCCCAGCCTCACAATCCTAACCAAAGCAGTCTCCAAGCTCAACAGCACCAGCCACCCGTTTACAACATCAACAAAAACGACTTCAGGGACGTCGTGCAGAAGCTGACCGGTTCGCCGGCTCACGAGCGGTTCTCTACTCCACCACCAATCCACCAACCCAAACCACAAAGCTCTCGACTCCAGAGGATCCGGCCTCCTCCATTGGCGCACGTTAGCAACCGCCCCCCACCCATGATGAATTGCGCCGTCCCCAACATGAACCCCCCAGGTTGCTCTCAACCGAACCCCCCTATGAGTGGTCCCACTGCTAATAGCTTCATTCAACGACCACCAGTTGCGCCGCCTTTTTCGCCTCTCCCGCCATTTCCGGCTGTACATGCGGCGGCCGAATCGCCAGTCTCCGCCTATATGCGGTACCTCCAAACCTCCATGTCTGCTACTGTTGATTCCAACCCAAAGCAATTCACGGGATTCCTACCATTGGCCCCACTGGCTTCACCCCGTTGGAACAACTTAACCGTCCCACAGCAGCAGCAGCAGCAGCAACAACCACCGGCGCTGCTGCCACCGCCGCAACTGCCGCAGCAGCAGCAACAGCAACAACAACCGTCACAGGTATCATCAACGGGGATGATCCAATCCCAGTTACCGTCATCACCACTACCATTCGGGTGCTTAAATTCCCCACGGTCACCGTATGCTTTACTTTCCCCAAGTTTGCTATTTTCTCCAAATTCGGGTCAGTTGGGGTTCCCGCTTTCACCAACGGTGCCCGTGCCGAGCCCCAAATGGCGAGGTCTTTGATAAATTTTAATTTCGGGTAAGTCTTCACAAGGGGGAAACTTGTGGTGTTAGGGTTTTTGTACATGGTTAGGGGTTGGTGGGGAATTTTATTCAATTACCAGTGGTTGGATGAAGAAAAAAATTGTCTCGCCCTGGTCACTTAGAAGCTTGTTTCTTTCTTTCATTTTTCCTTGTTATGTAAAAACAGAAACTTTAAATTATGTTCTTTTCTTTTTGTTGAAAATTGGGTGGAGAACAGAAGTTCAAAGTTATTGATTACTAGTATTATTAGCATCATAGATGAAGTATATTTATTTGTAAGATTTGTTCTTGCTATGTTTGTGCTGTTTATATTTTTATCTGCTGATCTCATTTTAGCCATTTGTGGGTATAAAAGGTTTTTTTTTTTGGCCAATAATTGGATAAACTGTTCTGTGTAATGATTGTCAGACATGGTTTTATCATAGATTTTAAGAAGGTTAGATCAGTTTTTCCCATGAATTTTATGGATTTAAAATTGCTCATGAACTCATGATCCAAGCAAATCAATTTCTGAGTGGTTTTATGTAATCATATTAGGATGTCTACTTTTGTTTCTGCTCTCTTTGGAGGTAGTAATTGAAGTTCGAAACATGTTCCTTAATCCTAACTAATAAGATCTGTAGCAGAAGTTTGATGTTGTAACGAAAGTTTTGCAATATCTACCACTACTTTCTACTAGCTAATGAAATTATACTGTATAGAACCTATCTTTAAATTTAAAGCTAGTCTTGTTTGACCAGATTGTCCAACTACTCTTCGAGTACTGGAGGACATTTGATTTGACCTCTTCTCCCATAGATATATAGTAGGGGAAGAAAATTGGGTGCTAGTAGTAGTAGTAGTAGTAGTAGTAGTAGTAAACGCTAACCGTATCAAAAAATCATCCAAAGCTTCATTAATGTCTCATTAAAGCGAGGTTTTCAAGAAATGAATATTCACTTATTTAGGAGTTCCTAGGGGAGGAATGAATACTTTAGTTGGTTAATCTTGCCTGCCTTAAATCACAAGAATCTTCAAAAAAGAGTTAAGAGCATTTTCCTTTCAATGTGGGAAGTGACTTTTGGGCTTGAATGTGCATAGTTCTCAGAAAGCAATTATCAATGGTTGTACTGTTGCAGTAGTGTTTCTCTGGCCTAAAGTTGACTAAATAATTTGCTCCCTTGTTTATTCATGTGTATGCATATAAAACGATTCACATGTATTATCAGGTTACTGATGCATGTTTTCTACCCCACCTTCTGCATCACGCATTTAACTTGGAATCTTTGGAGTAGTACTTCATTAATCGAATTGGGAGGAAAAAGAGCCTGCTGAAATTTGACTGTGCTGTTCTATGTTGTTATTTTGTTTTTTATATACCCTCTGGGGCCTCACTTTGATTTGAGGAGAGAAGGAAGTTAAAGTCACTAAAACAGTTGACCTTTTGCATGAATGATAGTGGATTTGGACCAATTAGTGTTTCCTGTGAGGCTGAAGACTTTTCTTGGAGTTGAGGGCTGCTCCAAACCCTCTCTCCTGTGGGTTCTACTGCTGACCTTTCAAAAAGTGGTCTTGGTCATGGATATGGTTTTACAATTCTCTTCCGGGTTCTTTAGTGGTGAAATCTGAGGCCATCAAGCACTTAGTATAACTAATTCCTTCTATTACTTGTCAGTTGTTGGAAAAAGTTTATAGAATATTCATTTACCATCCAGTTAGTGGTTTGAACTGTTGCAAGATTCTTGCCTGCATTCATTTCTTGGACAAGGTTAGTGGTTCTTTAGCATTTGAACAATGATTCCACTTACCTGGTATGCTTTATAAAGTAATAAGTCAATAGTTTCGAAGGGCAGAGGGAATTTCCTGCTAGATAGAATTCATCAGGGGTAGGAACTTTTTACTGTACCGTCTTATTATGGAAATCAAAGGCCATTGGTCATGACTCATGGACCTCTGGCAGCCGCAGGCATGGCTGAAGCAGATTCTTAGGATGCAAAGGATTTTCTTGAAGGTTTCTTTGAAGGTCGTCAGGACTGGGTACACAGGATTCATTAAAAGGCATTGATATCAAAGGAATTACCGTTTCTTTTTTTGTAGCCACTTGCCACAGTAACCACCTAATTGTAGTTGTCTTTTCACCGACAACAGAAAAAGCAAAAGAGCTGAACTTTCTAGCCAACCACGTCATAATAGTTGGCCCAAGATAGAGGCCCATAATTAGGAACCACCCAACAGTCCAGCAGCCCAGTCAATCCAAAAATTAAAAAGGGAAACCCAGTCGCTTCTACATTATACCGACAGCCCTGCAAAAATAGTGTAGTTCTAATACGTGGCTCTCGCTGCGTGAACTCAATATCTCTGGTGGAAATCACAAAATGGGGTAATATAATATACCCTCAATATTTAAAGTTTGTTTCCTTGCCAAAAAAATTTAATGAAAAGGTAAATGACAATTCATTTAATCATTAACTTGAAGAGAAAATGTTAATTATCATTTTACGGGTAATATCATTTTTCTTCTTATCTCTTCCAGCCACTACTTTTGACAATTTGAAAATGTTAATTATCATAGTTTGATAAATAAATGATGAAATTTGTTACTTTCTTAAAAAAATTATCATAAATTAATTGAATAATACTAGACAAAATACGCAATAATATTGAAAATTTTTATGAAATAATACGAATATCAACAGCAACAATTACATCTTTGGGCCAACGCTGACGGTGGCTTCTCTTTTGCTTTCTCTGCCTCTCTTAGATAAAAAGCCTAAGAATAACGTGTTAATTAATTACCACTTCCTTCACGATAAAAAACAAAAATAACAAAAGGCTATATTTCCTTCTAACGAATACTTCTTAATATGCTTGCAACTACTAAATATTTTCTCTTCACTACCCTTATTTGAATTTTCCCATATCTCTTCGCGCTTTTGACTGTCGCAGTAAAACAGTAAAGACGCTCAAATCCTAACCTAACATATCTCTGTGTCGACATTTTATTCTGCTTTGGCCGCCTCTCTAGAACTCAGCCAACAGCTGATAAAAACACAAAAGAGAACAGCCCGATCGCCTCCTCTTCCGGCAATGGCGGAAGCTCAAACCGACAAACCCCTTTCCCTCTCTGAGGTACCTTTTTTACTCTCTCTGATTTAAAATTTGTTTTCATCTCTTCGAAAGCAATAATTGTTGTTTATTTTAATCCTTGTAGAAATGGCGAAGTTCGATCTTTGTTGCTTTTGTTGTTTTTGCAATCTTAGAACTGTTTTGGATCTTCAATTTTGATTTTCAGAATTAAGTTTGATTTAATTGAAATGAACGGATCTGACAGAGTGGTGCTGGATATTATTGCTGAAATTAAAACATTATGAAGAGTTTATTTGGTCGCTTGAGCATATCAGCCTTTTGAAGTTTTACATGGTGATTTGATTAGGTTTTAATTGTCTATGCTCGTTAACGATTCATAAACAATTAAGGTCCAATTTTCTTGAGCATTATCATGAGCATGTGATTAACATAATTTTTTGCAACATTTTTCTAGAATAACTCGATGAAATTACTCTATGGTTTGCCTTAAGATTCGAGCCTATCATAAATTCATAATAAACACCAGTAGGAGTCTGCTGTGCACAGTGTTGGTTTGTTGAGGGGCTGCATTCATGATGGTCATTGAAATAACATTTTGAGCTAAAGTTATTATATTTTTCACAAGTCGTAGTTCATACTCAAACAACTATTCTAAAATATGCATCAGATAATATTCTGAGCAAAATTTTTAGTGGTTTAAGCATCCAAAGCTTTTGACAAAGAGCAGGTTGCAGTGTTTTGTGCTCATGGCAACCATAGAGTAACACTGAGTGAACATTGCAGTTTAGGAACTCAAAGCTTTTGAGTATGCTGTGTGAAAAATAATGTTTATCAGCTATTTCAAATGATGATTTGAACTTTCGATCATCTTCTCTCTGGCTTGCTGTTCCTTATGGAACAGCTCATTCCTGCTAAAATTTAGTTAGGATGTAACCTTGTTTGCAACTTTTGGTCTTGATAACTTCCGTGGCATTTCTACTTCTCTTGCTTGTAAAGCCTTTTGTGTAGCTGAGCTGATATTAAGTTCTCTGATGCTGTGTTTATAAACGTGTGTGTATATCGTTGGGGGGTAATTATTTGACCTGATTATCCTGGAAACCTATTTATATTCTTTACTGATTTGACATGAAGCAATATCTGCTGAAGGAGAAAGAGGAGAAATCAGATGTGGCTACAAAACCAGCAGAAGTAAAAGAGGTTGAAAGTCCAGTCAATGCTGCTTCTGAGGAAGTTGTCATTGAGAAAGTGGAGGAGACTCCTGCCGCTCCAGTTGAGGAGACCACTGTGGCCCCTCCTGCTGCTACTGAAGAAAGCACTGAAGCCAATCCCGCTACTGAGAACAGCAGTGAAGATGCTCCAGAAGCTGCAGAGGAAAGTAGTAAGCCTACTGCAGAGGAAAGTAGTAAGCCTACTGCAGAGGAGAACTCAGGTGATGCTGAAGAAACACCAGAGATAAAGGTTGCCCTCCTGAGCTTGTTTACTAAGAACTTCATCTCTGCTGCCTCCAAATTCCTTTTTGTGTATACGATACTCATCTTTACATGCTAGATTGCTTCACTAACATACTGTGGTTGCATGTTCAGCTTGAGACTGCCCCGGCAGATTTTCGTTTCCCAACTACAAACCAAACAAGGCATTGCTTCACACGATACATTGAGTACCATCGGTGAGTTAAACATGGTTTATGAATTGTTTTGTATCTTATAAGGCTCTGCTTTCTTCTAGCTCTGCTTCTTGACATGCCTTTTATCTTTTCATCTCATATAGCTGCGTAGCTGCGAAGGGAGAAGGTGCACCAGAGTGTGACAAGTTTGCCAAGTATTATCGTTCCCTATGTCCTGGAGAATGGGTGTGTATTTTTCCCTAGAAACCTTAATGCAATTCTTTTTATCATAACAAGATGCATAACGGTTTAGAGTTTTGACTCTTATCGGATATTTTCTGTTTGTTGCTCTTATTACATGAGTAAAATCAAGGAATGCCTTATGGTCCCATCTCTTTTTGAGAGAGGTGTTGCTAAATTAACTCTAAAATGTGAATGTCAGTTACAGATGATATGATGTTGAAGGGCTGTCAACATAACTGTCAAATAGGAGTTGAGTGAATTTAGTTGAATTTTTTTTGTATGTTTTACTGAGCTCAAGTGCCAGAAAGTCGATAGGGATGGCATGAAGAGATCCAGTGACGTAAAACAATTTGGAAATCTTCCCACTTGTCTTGCGGTAGGCTCAGCCTTAAGAAGGATTTCTTTTAGGTGTTTGTGATTGGAGAAAAGAGAAGAGTTTAGGCTTTATGACTGGGATACAGGAGTTAAAGTTGCAGGTGTAGACCTATTTTGGTTGCTAGCGCAGATGGATATTTCAAGGAAATTCATTGTAGCAAGAAGTTTAGGGTTTAATGGGCAGGATAAGTGGTTTCATTTGTAAGAATTTCGGTTTGAAAATTTGTGAAGAAATTAGATTGATAGGATAAGGAAATAGATTGGGATTTTTTATTGCATCCATGCCTTAGGAACTGAATAAGTATTCAATGTTTGTCTAGGCCGACTAAGATGCAATGCTTGCATAGGAAACTAACTAATAAATATGTAAAGATAGACTTAAATTGGGAGGAAACAAATGACTGTTAAAAGCTACTAGAAATGATGAGCTCAACTGAATACCAAAATACACCAAACTAGTGCATTGCTGGAAATGGTGGATTGTTCCTTGCACACAAAATTTCCTAAATTCCAAATTATAGGCGATACAGGAAAAGTATAGTCTGTTTTTCAATGGCTGCATTTGGATTTAAGTATTATATAGTCCAACTTTGAACTGTTTTTTGAACCAAGTCTTTTAATCTTATAATCATTTCTTCAGTTGAACTAAAGTTAAGTAGAAAAGATTAGATAGGGTTCATCATTCCTTGCTAGTATCGGAGGTCCTCAGATTGTGCTTTGTCAATTGATCTGGACACTTTTGTTTAAATCTGACATTGAAGAAGAATCAGAATGGAGGGCACCGCTAAAAATAAAGAGGCAGTGATGAAAATGATTAGTTTTGCTTGTTCAAGTTAATTTTTTCTCATATTTTTGAGGAATGGGAGAATGTTATACTTGAATTCATTCTTCCAACCCCAGTTTAAACTACTTTAATGAGTATTATACGTCCTGGTGGCTGCGGGTGAAAACTGCAGAAGAAGATGCTTGCTCTGTAACTGGCTGCTTGTATTAGTTTTCTATCTTAGTATGTTAGTAGAATTAATACCTTATTGCACAGTTGATTGATATGTTTATTTCCCATTTGTGGGCCACTTCTGTTATTTGATGTTGCTCTTTGAGCTAACAGTTAACTCTCTTGATTTGCAGATAGACCGATGGAATGAGCAAAGGGAGAACGGTACTTTTCCAGGTCCTCTGTAGATGGTACCTGTCAGGAAGCCTTGTCATGGTTTTCTTCTGTTATATGACCAGTTCACGGCAGATGAATTTCTTGAATGAAAGGAGAGTTTTCAGGAAAAGTCCTATTTGAATGGACGAAGTAATAAGACATTTTTGCATGTAAGATAGACTAGATCCAGGATGACACAATGTGTCGCTCATAAAATGAAAGTTATTACTCATCGGTTCCATGATGAAAGCTTTTTTTCCTTTTATTTTTTTCTGCTGCAACCATCATAGTTGCAGGTTATTGACGTAAACCATACTATAATAAAACGAGCATGTAACTCTGTAATGGCCTAGATTTCAGTTCATTAATGATTTCTTAACTCAGCTTTGCAGTGCTGAAAATTCCAATATTGAAGCATTTCTGGTGCGTGCGTGGATTTTTATGTATTTTTCCAAAGATCATATGCAAAATATTAAGAGTTTCTTGTTGTACATGGTTGTTCTAAAGACTGGTATTGCCCTTGGTGTGAAAAGAGATGGTGTTATAAATGGCCAAGGTGGTAATCGATGGTGGAACGAACCAATATTTTGTCATCACCTTCTTGGTCATAAGAGTATTATTATGCCCAGGGTGGGTTTGTTTTTCTTCTTACTACCTTTTTGTGTTATGTGAGATGGCGGAGAGAAAGGCATGCAGAGAGAGTGAGGCTGAGGCAGAGCTGAGAATGGGAAAAAAAGAAGAAGCAAATGACATGTAGGAGGCATGACCATGTAAAACCCGTTTGGGTTTTTGAAAATTGAATGAATGATGCTTCAGGAACATCGTTGTCGTTGAATTAATTGAATGTACTGCAACACAAAAACATGACCGAATTGTGTTGAAAGTCAAGGATTTGGAAGGTGTGTTCTTTATTTAGATGAATTTAATAGATTACTCATTAGCAAATAGCAATAATCCCCCGCTCAATCGTCTGCGCGTGTGCGTCCATTATGTTCTGCTTTTGGTCGTAAAACAGCACAACTTTCGAGGGTTTTTCTCCCCCAACCTTTTTAGCTTTTGACTACGATATCTATTTGAAAATTGAATGCTACAATCAACCCGCTTATGGTTTTGCTTTGGGTCTCGTGTTTTCTTAACATTATGCCAGACGCCCAAAGCATTTAACGGATCTCTGTTGCTTTGTACATTGCACTCCAAAAGAATTTGGGCTTTGTTCTTTGCAAAAGGTTTTTGTTTGGGCAAAGGTAAGAAACTAACAAGAAGCCGACGTGGCTAATATAGAGGGCCGGTAAAGTACTTGTTTACCAACAAAACATGTATGAGAGGTTGACTTTAAGTGAATAACATCCCATTGTTAACAGAAGAGTTCACAGAAGTTTTGGCTTGTACAAGGCTTCATCAACATTTAACCGGGACTGTATTTTCCGTGTTGGACGGAAGTCCCCGAACGCAAGTTTTCTCCGTATCGCCTCATTTGACTTGAAACCGTCAACCAAACAATGCGACAAACAGGGACCCTGACCGCCAAACTTTATTTATGAAGTTTCGTCTAATGAAATTCGAACAGATAATGCCGTCCATAAGATTAAGAGGTGGCAAAACTTATCAAACAAAACTATATTTAGCTTAATGATTTTATAGGAAAGCCACCTAAATGAATACGAATCAAAGTCAAATTACGGGTTTTTACAGCATCAGAAATCGATGAAATCCACCCTAAATTGAATCCTTATCCAAGTCCTATGAAAGAAGATAAAAAAACAAATATCCTAACAACAAATCAGCCGATTACTACATCATCTGGAGCAAATCAAGCCCTTTCACCACGAATCCTCCTGGCAAGTTGAATGTCCTTGGGCATGATTGTAACACGCTTAGCATGGATGGCGCAGAGGTTGGTATCTTCAAACAATCCAACAAGGTATGCCTCTGCTGCCTCTTGCAACGCCAAAACAGCATGGCTCTGGAAACGCAGATCGGTCTGCAAACCACAAAGGCCAAACAAATGAACCATAAATCAACAAAATTATTCATTATTATTCATAAATTCAATTTCAAATTTTGATTAAAAATTAGTAGTATACCTTATAGTCCTGGGCAATTTCACGAACAAGCCTTTGGAAAGGCAGTTTCCTGATGAGAAGTTCGGTACTTTTCTGATACTTACGGATTTCACTGCATCCAATGGAGAATCCCCAGTCAAATTCGTATAAAAAAGAAAGATAAAAATTCAATTTTAAGAAATAAAACGTGTTTTTAATGACTTACCGAAGAGCAACAGTTCCAGGACGGTATCTGTGAGGCTTCTTCACGCCTCCGGTTGTTGGGGCCGACTTGCGAGCAGCCTGAAAAAGCAAACAACAAATAAACGATTTATCGAAACCAAAGGAACAAACAAACCAAATCAAATCGAGAAAAAATTAAAAAACCAAAAACATTGAGGAGGAAATAAAACCTTGGTGGCGAGCTGCTTCCTCGGAGCCTTGCCGCCGGTGGACTTACGAGCAGTTTGCTTCGTACGAGCCATCTATATGGACCATATTAAATACCAAGTAAATCCCAAAACAAAGAAAAATAAAAAGAAATTCCCTATATTTCTGCCAAATTTCTTCAAAAAACTTACAAGAATCGATTAAGAAAACTTAGAAACCCAAAATCAAAGCTAAGACGCTTACCTCAAAATATGACGATAGACAGAGAGAGCTTTTGAAAGTAAGGAATTTTCTCGATACGACTCGGAAACTTGAAGGCGAGAATCTAATGGAGAGCATTAAAAGTCGTACACTATTTATAGGCGGCCAAGGTGGACAAAAAAAACGTGACTGATCCACTTTTATTCGTTAGTGATCGGACGGTTAGAAGTTGTCTGTGCTGTGTTTCTTTGAGCCTCGGTGAACGGCCTAGATGCTCATTTAAGGATGTGTCCTGGATCAACGTGGAGAGAGACTCGCTTCCTATTGGTCCACACTGTTGAACTAGACTGCTTTTTCGCAACAAATTCGCCTCGCTCAGAGGACTGCTGGTACGACGCCGTTCTTAACCTCAAAGGCTTCAGGCCTCTTGATGACAAAAATGGCTGCAAAAGCGGCCCCGTTTATCGGTCTCTTATAGAATCCATTTCCCGCGGGGCAGACGAACTCGTGTTTTCATATAATTGCCCAAATTATTTGAAACCCAAGGTCTGCTTTTCTTCCCAACCTTTTTTTATCAATTAGTTTTCAATTATTTTATTATGGTTATTATGTTTAACATAAATGATTTCTGATTAATGAATCAATTTCATATAATAATTTAATAATTATATAAAAAAATTGTCATACGTCGTCGTTTTTAGCTCCACCCAGGCCTTCTCAGCCCCTTCGTCCAGCCACAATAACTTTGGTACCTTCCTTCAAAATATAGTATAGATAGATAGATAGATAGATAGATTGCTTTCATTACTCAGTTTTTTGCTTTTTAGCTTCTACGATTAAAGAAGATAACTTTAGCTGCAAATATAAGAAAACAGAGTCTCATAGTTGAAGCGGAGGCGAAGTTATGGCGTTACAGTGTCGTTTAAGTGGGACGACAATCCAATCCCTAAAAATGGCGACGATTCCAATCTCATCTTCCTCGTCACGCCTCATTTTCAGACCACTTCCCCAAAGTCTAAAACTCTCTTTATTTTCCCGCCACAGTCCTCCAAGAACACCTCCCATCACTCTTCTCATTAGAGCACTTTCCGCCCCGGCTGTGGCAGCCGCTCCCGCCACAGAAATCTCCGATAATAAAGGTAATTACATTAAATTGTTAATCTTTTATCCAATTTTTTTTTAAAAAAATTCAATCTCTGATATTTTAAATTGTCTTTGTAGTTGTAAAGCCGCAATGGAGGGCGGCGATAGATTTCAAGTGGATAAGGGATAATAAAGAAGCGGTTGCTATTAATATTAAGAATAGGAATTCGAATGCCAATTTGGAGCTTGTGCTTGAACTTTATGACAAAATGTTGAATCTTCAAAAGGTTAATCTTTTGGTTGTCTGCTCCATTAATCTTCGAAATGAATGCAATAATGTGAAAGATTTTTTTTTTTAATTTCATAATACTTAGCTAATTCTTGCTGACAGATTGCAGGAAGTTGAGCGGTTTCGAGGGGAAAGGAATACGGTTGCAAACAAGATGAAAGGAAAATTAGAACCTTCTGAGCGCCAAAAGCTCATAGAAGAAGGTGTTGCTCAAATGTTTTGCTGTTTCTTGGTGCCCTTTTTGTGGTCTAATTGTTTTGGTTTTGAAATGTGTTTTTTTGCGGTTTTGTGATTCAGGAAAGAATCTGAAGGAAGGACTTATGACTTTGGAAGAAGACCTTATAAAATTAAGGGATGAGCTTCAGCTTGAAGCACAATGTATACCAAATATGACTCACCCTGATGTTCCAATTGGAGGGGAGTGTAGTTCAAAGTTGAGGAATATGGTATTGATATTGCTTTGATTAGTTTCTTGTGCTTTAGTCATTATATATTGTCTTTCTGGTGTATTCATACAGCTTTGATGTTTAATTTGTATTTTTCTAGGTTGGTAGCCGCCGTGAATTTGACTTCCCAATCAAGGATCACCTTCAAATTGGGAAGGAACTAGATCTCTTTGATTTTGATGCCGCTGCAGAGGTATTTTTTCTGTTTGGTCTAGGGTATGAGAGCATCTCTAATTTGTTGGTGGTTGAATTAAGGGTTTTTATTGGTAAATTAAATTAAATTTGGTTGTAGTTCACCATAATTTTAGTCAATTAATTGCCTTCATTGCCTATAACTAATTTAGTCAGCTTGATCTTGTGTAGGTTGAGTGCACTATTTTCAATTAGAATGGTGCTAGACTAATTAACAAGTCACTTCAGTGGATCAACGCACTGAATTGAGTTGTCTCTTGAATTTTGTGTCTCACATTGTAATCTGAAACTTGTAGGTGTGATAATGTGGCACCAGAGTTTCTAAACTCTGCAACTTTTATGGAACCTTGTAATTTTAACTATAACAATTTGTTTACTTACTCCTTATCAAATCTTGGATTATATACCAAATTTCAGCTAAGGTTTATGTATATTGGTTGATGTACAGGTAAGTGGTTCAAAATTTTACTACCTGAAGAATGAAGCAGTGTTGCTGGAAATGGCCCTTGTCAACTGGACCTTGACAGAAGTCATGAAGAGGGGATTTACACCACTGACAACACCAGAAATTGTGAGGTCATCTGTTGTTGAAAAATGTGGCTTCCAACCTCGTGGAGAAAATACGCAGGTTTGCATATATTCATGTTGTAGTCCCTTTTATGCAAAATAAGTGTTACTTGCTTTATTAAATATCAAAGAAAATGCGTATTGTTTTGGCACAAATCACGAGTCAAAGCTGTTGAAACTCTATGAACCACTTTGATCATGAGCTGGATCACTAGTATGGTCGGTGCAACCAATAGCTTGGATTCAGCTTGAAATGGGGGCTCCTCAGTTTTTTTATTGAGCTTTTTGAATCCGCATCTTACATTCTGATATCAGAATACTTAATTTCTCTACAGAGACTATTTCAAAGTTGGGAGTATCATGTTAATTTAGTTAGGATTTCATGGTGGTTTCTTGATACTTGTTTCAAACACTGAACAGGTTTATTCCATTGAAGATAGTGACCAGTGCCTCATTGGTACTGCAGAGATTCCTGTAGGGGGAATTCACATGGATTCTATTCTTTCTGAGACCTCATTACCCCTGAAATATGTGGCATTTTCCCACTGTTTTCGTACAGAGGCTGGTGCTGCAGGCACGGCAACAAGGTGATCAGCTACCTTAAGTTTCATTGTTATTTTATCCATATCTCACTATAGTTCCTGCGCTTGGGGTAATTTCTTAAATAGTTGAAAAGACTAGATTTCTGAATGAACTAACTCTTTCCATTTTTTACCAGGGGTCTTTATAGAGTACACCAATTCAGCAAGGTGGAAATGTTTATTTTATGCAGATCAGAGGACAGTGATATGTACCATGAGGAGCTTATTAAAATTGAAGAGGATCTCTTTTCATCTCTAGGATTACATTACAAGTATGGACTCTCATTAACCTTTACTTACTCTGTACTGGTTTTGTTCTGTTATTTGACAATCTTTGCTTTCTTGGCAGAACTTTAGATATGGCTACAGGGGACTTGGGTGCACCTGCTTATCGTAAAATTGATGTGGAGGCATGGATGCCAGGTTTAGAACGCTACGGTGAGGTATTGAAATAACCTTTTCTGCTTCCTTATGGCAAATTGAAATTCTGTCAATTTTACTAGCTGCGGGTTTTTGCTTTTGCAATGATATATCTTGAAAAATGAAATAATTCTGTTTGTTGAGGCAAACAGTTAAGCATTTTGAAATTACCTTTGAATCTCTTATTTATTTATTGGAAATTCTTTTGAATATTAGGTATAACACATTTTCTCTAAACAGATATCAAGTGCATCAAATTGCACTGACTATCAAAGTCGCCGACTGGGAATTCGGTATCGCCCATCAGAATCACCATTAACAAATTCCAAGAAGGGTAAAGCCAGCCTTGCTACAACCAAATTTGTTCATACATTAAATGCAACAGCATGTGCAGTTCCAAGGATGCTCGTGTGTTTGCTGGAGAATTTTCAGCAAGAAGATGGTTCTGTTATTATTCCAAATCCATTAAGGCCATTCATGGGTGGGATTGAACTTATATCTCCTAAATCCAGATAAATAGTATTTGTGGTATCACTCAAGTGTGATATTTTCCACAAGTTTAGGCATGTAGTCTCAGAAAAGAGAAGGGAAAAAGGAAAAAGAAAACGAAAAAGGAAGAAAATATATAGAAAGTTGATGTCGGTGGGAAAACAGAGAGAAAAGTGAGAGGAATGTTTTTCCCAGAATTGGAGAGCTATTGACATTTCTGAGGTCTTGTTGACGTTGATTAATTATTGATGGTTCGGGTTTGAAAATTAGCATTATGAGTTGCTCTTTGTCAAATTGGTGAAACAGCTTGTTGATGTTGCAACCTCAACCAGCTGGCTGACATTTGTTAGCTAATTTTGAAAATTGAGCCTTTCTGCTTTATGACATGCACTTCAACCATTTATGGTTTAAATTTCCAGCGCTTAGTGTGTAATCTTGGTAAGATATCGTCTTTATATATGTATATATATATCTCGCTCTCTAATATGAGACCAAGTATAGAACATTTCAGGTGTAATAGAGGTCAAAGATAATCGGAATTTAAGGCAAACAGCTGTTCCAGCAAGTGAAAGCCGAAAACGACAGTGAGCTTACCGAACTGAGAAATTACAACAAACATGTCTGTAATCCGGCTACAGTACGTTGTGGAGTTATAAACACTCAAGTCCAAAGGTGGCTCCATATCTAACAGCTACCTGATGGATATACACAAATCATTGCATATACCAAAAGGTTGAAGATATTCAACTGGGAAAAATTGTTGTCGGACTGCCAACCAGGCTGGCATGTTCATGTACTTCTCTGATACCATTGTTTGCTTTCTGCCTATAATTTGAGTTGGCTCAATTCAATCTTTTTGACTGGATACGTATACGCCTCATAATTGATTTGTTGGCCCAAGCAACTTAACTTTGTGAGTGTAGTTATCAGATCAACCTGGAATAGAATCATTTTCAAACCAAGACCCAGAATTAATATTATAATATAAAAGAAGAAATAGTGCAGCTTGGAAAAATTTTATTGTGTTTTCATAACCGTATAGTAGGTGAAACCCTGCTTAATGTTAGCAGGAAGTAATTCCAATTTTCTATGTAAAACTTGGCAGTCTAGGCAATGGCCCATGCGAGGATGAAGCTGTTCCAACTTCGAAATAGAAAAAGAGAAATAATCAACTAACCTCATAATCTGTCTGAGACACTGTTTCTCGGCTACGTTGGTATTTATGAACCCACGGAGTAACATCAGGATCAGTGGCCAGTAAGGCCTCTGTAGCGCTCTGATCAGGACCCAGGAATACAGACATCACGGCTAGCTGATCAACCAGAAGGGAAAATCAATGACTCAAAATAGGGTGCAGTCATGATTGCAACAATAAAAGAATCTAAACGGAGTTCAATTTATTTCTCGCCTTCTTTCTTCATATTTTCCATCTGAAAAGTTAGAATTGCATGCGATCACAAGCACATTAGGGAAAAGATTAATGCACCCTAGATTAAGAACAGGTCTAGTATCAATATAGCCACACTGGCAACATAGAATGATAAATCTAGAGGAAGATGATGCGTCCAGCAAAAACAATAAGCAATGAGTTGGTGCTAAAACTTAAAAGCCATACAGGCTGTTGCACTCTAAACTGAAGCAGTTTAGGCAGGAAAATTAAATCTCTGAAAATGTAGGGTTTTAAGTTCAGTAAGGCTGTTGCACTCTAATTTAAGCCAGAATTGCCCCGCATAAGGTTTCGAGAAGATCAAAAACTTAAGAAAGTAACTGTGATGAAAACACAGTGCAACTACCTGACGGGGGCCAAAGCCAATTGCTTTGAACTTATCTTTCATTTCCTGCACAGTTGCTTTCTCCCACAGGGGCACTCTTCCCTCTGGATCTGGCTCTTCAGTATCACTTCGTCCAAACTGCCTATCGAACAAGCCCCACTATTGACACAATATAACAGTATCAGAATCATGGTGAATTGCCAACTTAAATCACATTTAGTCTTTAAAACAACTAACTTGAGGTAGGAAACACCAGTAAGGGAAGAGATACTAAAGACATGGAGCTGCTTGACATGCTTTTTTTGTGCATTTACGGGTCTTCAAAAGATGATATAATTTTGGCTTAAATAATACTGCAACTGTACAGCATGACATAGTAAGAAAAATGAACCTGGCCATTTGAACCATATACTGAGTATAAAAAACTTCCTTTCTCTTCATTCCCACCACATTTGCGAATAGCAGATGCTACAAAAGTAGCCTTGGTGGCAGTTTGAGCTACTCAGAATAAACAAATGCTGTGTCAGGTGAATTAGCATTATCTGTTTTATCACACAAAGGAATACCCCGCGTAATTCTAACTTGGAATATCAAACATTTATAACGTATCACCTGCATATTGGATGAGGTCTGCATATGAAATAGGTCCACCCTTGGAATATGAATCAATTTCCTTCTTGGCTTCATCCAATAAACTCACAGCAGCAGAAAGCCCCTTATTTTCAGGTCTGCTTAACTCTGAGCTTTAGGCCACAAAAAGGAGAATAACGAATCAGGTTAAAACTTGAATAAAATGTTTAAAGCAATGATTCTGTTAAGTTTCCCTAGAAGGAAGATTTGACTGCCATTAACTGAGAAGAGCATGTGTTCATTAAAGTAAATGAGAACTCAGAAAAAATAATCTCCAACTTTCTTCTGTCCAAACTTTTCACCTTAAAGTAAAGCACTCCTTATGTTATCCATTTATCTTGTCAAAAGCTAGAAACAGGTCAAGATCCACTAAGTGTTCTACATTATCATGTCAATACTATAAAAGGCTGCCTTGGAAAGAGCAGTCATCACTTGCCTTCAGTAGGAATTTTTCAAACCTCATCTGCAGGTTGCTTACATAATTAGCCCCTCTTATTTCACTATAAAAATTATGGAGAAAAAAATGGCATATCTTGCATATTTCCTGAGCACGAACTTATATTTGAGATAATGCTGCAAGTAAAAACGTGGCATACCTGAATCGAATGGATCCATTTGGGCCACCAGATTTTGTAGCCTACAAACTTAAGCAGCAGAAAGTTAGTATTTTTTTTCCATTTTTTTTTTCTTTTTCCATCTCATATAACGGAGTTAAAAAGATACTCAAATGCACAAAACAGTTAAACACATATTGTTTATCTGACCTTGTCATAAGTCACAGCATCATTCAGTGCCAAAGTTAGTATGGGAGGAATAAGATCTGGATTTCCCTGAAATTCATAATTGCAAGATAGCATTAAGGAAATGAACATTGCAAGCATAATGAACTGAATACTTAATTCCGCATCAACTAATCCCAGACTTTACATTTGAGGCTCTAGATGCCACGACTTTTTGCATTTGCAGAAATATGGACAGCAAGCGGGATATAAAAATTTACCTTTATAGCTTTGAGCAGGGTGTCCTTAATATTTGCTGCAGTAGAAAAGTGCCAAATACAGTTTAGCATACTGTAGCAGGTTCAGAGGTAAAACTTTACTAGTGTTTAGAGTACTTACAGAGAAACTCAGAGCGCTGTCTACGTTGAATCAAATCAGCAGCAGTTGCCATTTCAACCCATGGTCCTGAGCTTGCTAATAATTCCTAAAAGACAGATCAAAGCTGGCAGAAACTTATCACCACATCATTCTAATTCATGGAGGATTTATTGTTTTATATCTACTAACATGGCTTTAACGGTTTAAAGCCCAAGGTTAACAGTGTGAACAAGTCATCAATTGCCAACTAGCAAAAGGTAGTTCTTGAATATTAACAGGATAAAGAACAATTACAGGTGTCTTAATTGCCTTAATGAGACGGTCTATTATATTCTTCGAACAATTCACGGTCTCAGTATCAATTTCTTCTAGCTTCTACGTGAATCTGAAAAGAAAAAGCCATGATACGATGCAATATGGAAAGAATTGCTCTCACCATGCCAACGGTTGCCCCAATGCATTTGAGAACATCTCTACGATGGAAACCATATTCACCACAAACATCAGTTTCAGTTTTACTACAACGAATAGCACCCTGATTCATTTAAACACATGAAAACAAGAAAAAGAAGCAATGGTTGGCTCAGACACTTAATTCATAAAAAAACAAAAAAACAAAAAAAAAAAAGAAAAACCCGGTCCATGAGTCAGCATTTCTTCAGAAAATGCAAAATACTTACTGCCCGAGTAATAAGACATCTATTAGTAGCAACAGAGTTGGAGTTGAAAGACGGGACAGGGACGAGAGAAATCAAAGAGGGTGTTGTTGAAAGGAAAGAGACCCCCATTGCCTCCATGTTTCCAACTTTCTCTCAACCAATACAAGATCTTTTTTCCTCTTTCGTTTCTTCTTTACAACTTAGAGCTTGACAGCGTTAAGAGAGAGAGATAGAGAGAAAGAGAGAGAGTATATGCGACTAAGGGGGGCCAAGACGGGTACGTGTGGAGTATGCATGAGAGTTGATGATTTTGTGTTATCCTGATTCCTATCTATCGCGATTCTTATTGTGTGCGGGCCGAGTTCCTGAGAGTTCTAGTATCGGACCCAATTACCAAGCACCAGATATTAGAAACGAATCTGCAACCAGCGTGGGCCATACCCTTTGCCAGATCTGGGTCCTACTCGGTTTTGGGGTATCGGGTTAAACATACAAACAACAGAAGCAAAGGAGAAGGCCCCAAGACGAGATCCTTTCTACTTGCATTGGTATCTTTTCATAAACTTAAATTGGATGGCAATCATCAGATTTCACTTGTAAAATGCAACTCATAAATCGAGCAGCAGCACAACGGAGGGGTTAAAAAGAGCTAGATTAACATGCTTTCACTACTATTGCAATCAATTGCCAAAAGAAAAGGCAATACATGAAGGGAGCACATTATTATTTCTTGAAGCATTGGGACAATTACAATTATCATGTGCCCAATGAATCGCCAACGGCACCATGGAAACCTAATGCAACTTCTGAAAGGCATGTGAAGGCCCCGGCTACAGTTTTATCCTGTACGGGCCCCTGCAACCCTAATCCATTGAATCTTACCCATCTACGTATTGAATTTGAACCAATTGTCTAAAACTCAAGATATGCACACTCCGCGTCCCCATTCTTGTAGTGGCATTGCCAGCGTGAAGATCTTCCATTGATGGACGTGATGCAATAATGAAAGGTGCCACCAAACAAGTAGCTAGGGGATCTTCAATAAAAGCAATTGCACTACAGCATCTGATCTACCTGATACTGATAGATGCGCTCACATTCTGTGATACCCTCCTGCACAAACAATCTGGTAATGGATTTACATAAAATGCTTCTTCTGAGCGAAACCTATCCATGCCCTTTGTTCCTGAGACAGGACCCCTTCTCTTCCTTGGGGACCCTTGCCTGTACAATCCATGAAAGAAACCATGAGTTATGAGGAGCCTGAATATTAATTGCATACATCTAAACTATTGCTGTTATAAGTGCAGCACAGCAATGATAATGGAGTTGCTCCTACCACAAGCCACAATCTGCAGCTTCCAATTAATTAAAGAGAAAAACTACATACAGTTTTTTGTGGATTTCGATGATTCGACTGGAAAGTTTTCTGCCTTCCTTCAATACCCCGTTCTCAATTTTGTCAAACAGACGGACGAGTGCTTTCCTGAAGGAGAGTACAGAAACAACTTCAGTACACCGCAAACGATTAGATATGAATAACAGATAGATAATTAAAAATCAGTTCAATTTCAGAAATTAAACTGACTCACCTGTCAGGAGAAATGGTTTTCCTATGTCCCAGAAAACGACGATGCCCTTCAACAGCTCTCGCCATGTTTCCAGAGTATGATGGAATGAAGACATCACTTTCAACAGATACAATGTAGTCAAGTGCAGCCATTTGAGATGCATGAGTGGTGAATGGTTCAAGCTCCTCAACAGAAGCCAATTTTTCCTACAAAATATCACAGTGTATAAGACTATATTCCAACTCCATGTTCCATCCTTAACACTCAGAATATCAAACAACATTATAATAAACATTTCACCAATTTTTATAAACGGATGGTGCGTATCCTTATATGTATCTATTTATGCATGTATGTGCATTTTTCTTCTACGCATTAGTATGATGGTCATGCACACGCAACATGAGAGAGAGAGAGAGAGAGAGAGAGAGAATACAGGCAAAACATGCCAGCAATTATCCACAGAGCAACAAAAATAGTAAACAATGGTCAAAGATCTCTCAGTCAGTGTTAACTGTACCAGTTATGTGCTGGTTTCTTCATAAAGATGGTTCCACTATAACATTAGCTTTAGAAAATAGAAAAACACAACCAATCACAAGTTAAAAACACATGTCCAATTTGCATTGGAAAATTTTGAATGATAATTAATTAAAGAACGTATGGACTAACTGGATATACAAACCAGTATAAAGATCACAAACAGTTAGTCTCGCTATAATATTGGATAAAAATCAATGTGCATAATAGTTTCAATAAAGGAAGGCTGATTATGATTGAATTTCCATGAATATTAAGTTCCACATGTTCTAAAGTCTTGTTTTTTCCACAATTGGCCTCGTGAAAAATATAACCCAAATAGACGACGGCATCATAATTACGTGTATAAAGGAGGCAATCAAACCAATGACACAACTTCCTTCCTACCTTGCTCATTAACATGGGATAGTGCGACCGTAGATCAGCCATATGAGTATCACCTCCATATATCTCTCCAGCAGCAATATATATAGGGGTGTTTGACAGATATCCAAGAGCAGTGAGAAAAATTCCGACCTCTTTTGGGGTTAAGGGGCAATATCCTTTGGATCTCTGTTCCCTGGCATCAATTTCCTTCACTTTCCAATAGACAGTGTTTTCCCTGCAAATTCAGAAAGGAAGTGGTATATAACAAGGAGTTGATCTCTTATCCAACCTGGTAACACTTCTCCTATTTTTCACTCTATAATATCATGTACATTAGAAAAGAATGTTCTCCTACTTTATCTTCCCACTTCCTTTCAACTTGCACAGGATATATATAGAAACCCAGCTAACTGTTATACCTGATTGTCTTTAGTTCTTCAGCTTCAGCATTAGATAAACCATGTGTACATCCACTAAAGGCAAGCATGTCTTTCTCATATCGTAAATGCAGAGAGATGAAAGGACCATAAGACCTCATTCGATCCACCAATAACTGCAATATCAACAACTTAATATGTATGATGAATACAAAAAAACATTCTAAAGACTTGAAGAAGTGAATTTATACTCAGGTCAAACTAATTACTTTCCCCATTGCTTCAATTTTGGGTGCAAAGCGAAGTGCTTCATAGCAAGCACGACAACGAAGCTTCTGTATATCTGGAGGCAGATTGTTATTTGCTAGGCGAGAATCAGACTTGGCAGCTCGAATAACCTAGTAAAAAAGGGGGGAAAGAAGCATTTGATAAAGTACTTCGATCAGGAACATTAAGTAAACCATTTAGCACAATCATAATAAAGACTTCAACGGACAAACCTGATATTCCTCCCACAGGGAAACTATCTCATCCTGGTAATACTCCAAACCAGACCAGCTTTTGAATTGCTTAACTACTTTGGTAGCAGAAGACAACTCCTTAGGAAGCTTTTTGATAACTTTAATATCATTAGCCAGAGCATTAATAAAATGGTCCTCATCAAAAACATCAGAGAAGTTGCTGCAAGTTAACAGAGAAACAAATTATGACATCAGTCATGAAGAAACTCAATCAGAGATAGGAAGTAGTACTACTTTTGCAAAGGATCTGAGTTGAAGGGGAAAGGCTACCTAGAATCTTGCCAATATGACCGTTTATCAAGTTCCGGAACAACAAGAGTGGCATGTATTATACGGGCTACAGCTACCATGTCACATATCTGCAATTCAAGAATGAGATTCCACTCGATTAAACAATCAAGAAAAACTGAAATTCATATTGGAATATAAGTTACAATGGCTATCGTGCCTAATATTTCAAACAGTAAACTTAAACACATGTAAGGTTCTAATCTTTCAGTATCATCCCATAGCTGAAGAGAATGTAATTACTATTCCATAGACAATTATGCATGCATATCTCTTGGGAAGTAGATGTCTGAATGTCCCTGTCTCTATCAAGAAATGTGGGAAGGTGAAGGAATACATCACGTTCAAAGGTATTTGAAACCATTGTGTACTTGTGGAGAACTGGACATGTTTCAACATGCAAAGAAGTAAGACAACTTCAAATCCCATAATAGAAAGAGGAAACTGAGTGAAGTCAAGCTTATAGCAAGAAGAAGTGAACAAATATGCAAGTAGTGTCATTCCACAAGTTTGGCAGAAGACTATGTTTCTTCCAATCAAGTAATAATAAGTTTCATGTTATAACACAGATATAGCTGGCATGAATATAATCAAACCAGAATTCAACCAGTAAAAGGAAAGAATATACAGACCCCAGCTCGCATTTGGTTGAGCCCACCATTTGTATGAACTAGAAGATAACCTCTTGACTCATCAGGAGCTGAAAAAACAATGATAAATTTGAAAATTAATCCACAAGTATTTATTAGATATACCAAAAAATGAAACTCAAAACTAACTCCCTTACCTGCATAATTAGAACTGTGCTGTACACAGGGCACAAAATCGCGATTCACAGGTGGCTTCCACAACTTCTCGAAATCCAGATTTCCTCTGGCACCATCCAACTGTCAAATCTAAAGGAGTGAAAACATGAAAGATGCATAACTACTTTGCATCAATATATGCACCTAACATCTATTTGACCCAAACCACAATCCTCGATACAACAACAAGAACAAGCAACAAATAAAACAGATAGTAAAAAATTGAAACACTCTACTAAAAGGGATTAAGTAGAATTTTACAACCACCACTCAACTCTCAACCGAAATGGATTAAACAAAACCTTCTAATTGGTTAAATGAAATTTGGAAAAATGCATTGGTTTCTGCAGTCAAAACTTAATAATGCAACAAGGGACCATGTGAAGGAGCATAATCCAAAAAGAGCAACTAATACATTTTTTTTCATTTTTGTCCTATTGTTACATTTTCTGAGCAACCAAACAGACTATATAAAAAATGAACAGAAACACAAAAACCTTGTGAGACGAAAGAGGAGCTTTGGAAAGATGCGGGGAAGCCAGCTCTTTCGATAAATGAGGCGGAGCCAGCTCCTGCGTCCACTCTCGCTCTGTGCTTAACTTCCGATAATTAAGTTCATGTTGCTACAAAAATGGAAAAAATATTTAAATCAACATGCAAATCTCAGCAGAAAAAATATATACTGCAAAAAATGGAAAAATAAATTTCCATATAAGTATCATACCTAACCTTAAATAAATAAGACCAAATTTCCAAAAATAAGAAATTATGGAAACAAATCGAGCAGCAATTTATTTTATTGAAAGTGAAACAAAAGCAGCAATGGAGCAACATGGAAGCTTCGAAAGGGAAATGAAGAGAATAAAAAAAAAAAACCCTAAATCAAAAAGAGATACTTGACTGACGGTAGGGAGCTTGTAAGGATCAGACAAGTCGGAGACTCTAGAAGAAGGGAACACGTGTACGTGCACGGACAACAGTCCCACTAATGCTATTGTGCATATGGCGCACGTTAGCATCTTCCGCAGCAGCACCACCACTCTCCGCCTCCGTCTCTGCATCTTTTCTTTTCTTTATCTCCTAAAAAAACAAAAAGTAAAAAAAAAAAAAAACAAAACAAGAACTCCGTGTCTTCCTTCTAAAACGGAACGGCCGAAAAACAATGTCGCACCGCCATACTAAGGAAGCGATCGCATAGAATAAAAAATTTCACTCTCCTTTTCTGTTTCTCTGTCTCTGCGTTACGAAGAGAAAGCTAAAGCGGTCGGCTATGTTTTCTTCTTTTTTTTTTTTTCTGCTTATTTAGGATTTTGCTTCTTGTTTTGTTCTTTGTTGGTGCCACTCTGCTAAGCTTTTGGTCGGTTTATAAACGAGAATTTCGAGTTCGTAGATTAGAGGAATAATAAACTTAATTTATTTAAGAAAAAGGAATAAAAGAGAAAATAAAAGGGTAAATTTGAGATTTTATGATAATAAAACTGTTTAAAAAAGTTCAAACAGGATTAGTAGATAAGCGAGATACGCTTCATGGGATCCACTAGTCAAAATATATTTAAATTTCTTACTAAATTTTTTAAATTGCCTGAATCTGATTAGAGGTAACTGTTAGGTTTAAAAAATCAAATTTAGTGAAGAAAGATTTAGTAATTTTAAAATATTTATGGATTATGAAAAGATCATATTTAAAATAACGGCGGTAAAATTAAAAATTTAACTGTTAATTTACCCAGTATCCAGTTCATGCGCATACTTTTGCGGATAAAAAATTTAGGTGCCTTTGAATGAAGAGTTTTTACCTAAAAAACATAATCAAAGTCTTCTTTTGCAATGTCTGAATTGAAATAATCAAATATTAATGATACTATTAATGTTGAAAAAAGAAATGATACTGCAATTTTCTATGTTCTAATTGGTGTAAGCTTGTTGTCAAAATAAGTGGTTATGATGTATAAAATTTATGATCACGCCACTGAAAAAATTACAAATAAAGGTGATGTGGTTTTGACTTTGTTTTTTTCATCAATTCGTCAGCCCTGTCGACCAATGTCTAAAACCAAAGCGAAAGCAACAAGGCGGTACAAATAGAGAAGCGGGACTGGACAATGTGGATCTCAAGAAGTATTGCATTGATTGGAACGACAGAGAAACATGTGCCCAGAATTAAAGATTTGTAAGAGTGAGTGAACTGCTCGATTGCAAGCAAATTCAAATTTCATTAAACGGAGGGAATGAAATTTATTGTATAATCAAATTCGATAATTACGATGAAAGCTTATGTTAACCATGACGAAAACAAATTCTAAATCAATGCTTTCATAAACATTAGGCTAAGAATATTTTATAAATAAATATTTGGATAAAAAGAACTTAGACCGGAGAGAGAGAGAGAGATCAAGGGCCACGAGAACAAGGTTATTGAATGTCAGGTGTTTTAAGCGTGGTACCTTAGATTTAAAATGTAAAAGAATAGGATAAATACAAATTGGAAATGAAGGTAAATCCAATGGACGTTGTCGTCATGAGTGGAGGTTCGAACAGATTGTGGTCGGGGAGAAAAAAGAATTATTGAAGACGACAAAACTTATATACAGCATGGAGGTTACAAGCCTTTAGCCTATTGGATCGTTTTCTAGCTCCCAACTAGCCGCTTTCAAATTCTCGTGACGCCTCCTCCGACTTCTTGTCCGCTTTTGCGCACCGCGTCTGGCTCCTTTTAGATCCGCTGACAGCTCGAGGGAGTCTCCTCGGTCGCATCCTCTCCCAGCTCACCATCAGTTGTATCATCGTAGCTTGTAATATGAGAACAAAACAGAAACCGCGGAAAAGTGCAGTAAACTTTTCTGGGCTCATCTCAAGCTGCTCTCATCCCGCAAATCTGGAGTCATAGTGTCAAGCTGGAGGCTAATACAAAAGAATAAAGGGGCAATTGGCCAAATGCACAACCATGAATTTGTGAGTATAAACGTTTTCATATAGATATGAATTTCATAGTACATCTATTAATTGGTTATATTTATTAATTCTCCCTAATAACTCTATCAATTAAAATCTTAAATTTTAAATTAAAAGTTACAAAGTTAAATATCAAGATAAAAACAGTTGTGTATTTATAAAATGAAAAGGATTACTTTTTATGTATAACTTTCAAAATCGTTATATTCATTAATTTGTTAGAACCTTAATATCTCATTAGTATTTAAATGTTAGGTATGGGTTCGTTCTACAGCACTTAATTTGGGCATACTTATTGCTTAGGTTATAGTTATCTTAGAATGCAAAATGACTGGAGTCTAAGATGATAAATCTTTCTTTTTTTCTAATTTTAGAATAAGTTTGACTCTTCTAACATTTTTTTAGGTAATTGTGGCATAATTATCTTTAGGAATTAGGATCTAAGCTCCATTAAGACAAATCCCGTTGATTCAGTTAGACTCTTATCCAACATGAATGTCCGACATTATATTATTTTTATTTTCTTTTTTTAAATAGTGTCATCAGAAATTTATCATTCTAAATTTCTTTCAGATTAAAAACACAAATTGCCTCAATTTTTTTTTTTGTTAAAAAATCACAAAAAGATTGTTTCGGGCTCAAAGTGCACTAAAATAGTCACGATTCGTGAACAGAGGACATGTTCTCCTTGTCAGATTTGCTTCCACCATCTGTCACGTTCACAAACATGGAATCATGGGGATTCATTTCGGCCCACACTTGCAATAACAACAGCTATATATCTACTCGTGGCATGGCGATGGTGCCATGTTCTACAAAGTCTGATTTGTGGAAATTTCTATGTCCATCTATGGAACTGACCACTTGGGCTAGGAATTAGCCAAAAATGAACCCAAATAGCTTGCTTGATCAATAGGTTCAGTCCAGGCCTGTCGGTGATTGCAAAAATGGTTCCAATTTTCTAATTCTCCAATGCTGAGTCCCCCTCATTAATACAACTACTAATAGGGTAGACTCAGAAAAGGTTATGGATAGATTGCTAAAAATGATTGTTAAGGTTAGATAATTTAGAAGCAAAACTTCAGATTCTCTCCATCATTTGCCTCATGCAGAATGTGTAGCTGATAATTGTAGACTATTTTAGCGGTTTAGTTTTGAAAAATTAGGCTCGATTTGTTGCCTTGATGTAGAAAGCTAGAAGCTATATATAAGCACATGACGTAAAAGAGAATTTTTAGAGTGGGGAATGGAATAATACTGATTTTTCGTCTTATTATTAATAAAAACTTATAAACAATTCATGTGATTATGCCCACTGATCAACATGCATTGTGCTGCTGCTTCTTTCATTATCTTAATTCTATTTTCAGTATTGCTACTGAGTAATAACTTTTATGGAATGTTTTTAAACGACCACTTTTGACGTGTTAATTAGGTAAGGCATTGTCGAATAATCTACGTGGCAAGCATTGTGTGGACAACCGAATGAGAGGAATTTCCAGGGAAATTCATGGTTGTATACGTGGCAGATGCTCCTTTCAAGTTCTAATAAAATGATTAAGGTCGGGTGGGTCCGGAGGTCCTTTCACGCTTTCATTTGCGATTCGTTTTCTTTCAATTTCGAAGGAAACACTCGGCATCAAGAAAGGAACAGCAGCACATGCAAAAGACCGGAGAGCCGAAAACCTGTACGGAGTTCTCTCCCCTTTGGGTCGCTGAAAAATGTATTAAGTAGTATCAAAAGCATTCCATTAACAAGTGTCACAGCATTAATCCTAATCAACTCGTGATCTTATTGGAGTTTGCTTTTTCTTTTATCTTTTTGTGAAATTGTATTTCTTTCGCTTTAATAATAGATTGTCGCATGAGAATGGAGATGAATTCAGTTGTGAAATTGTAAGCCTACGCTTGCCCCATCACGATCTTGGGTCTATTTTTAGAAGAAAATGATTTGACAAAAGGAGGAGAATTAAGAAGTACTACCAACCATTGATAATTGCGATGAAAGTTATAACAACCATAAATTCATGTCGGTTGGAGTGTTGATGTTAATATGTGATTTATGAAAATTGAACTCAAATAAAATGAGTTTATCCTCCACGTACTCAAGCCCAGTTGGTATTATTAACGTGTAAATAAAGAAACAAAACAAAACAAAACTCTATAAATCCTTTTTGTCCTAAACTTAAAAATTCAACAATAAAAAAAACGCACCGACCCGTTTCCAGTGGGATTCTCTTTTAAGTCTTATGACGTAACTTGACACCAAAGTTTGTGGCTCAGATGTCTGCAAACTGCTATGTAATTCTCAGAAATGATCATTGACTCATTGTTGATGCCGCTCTAATGGAAGACTGTAATCGATTTGAGATGTGTCAGCAATGGCAAGATCGTTCATTAGTTCAAGCCTGTTCAACATCAAACTCAATTAATATCATCAATATTTTTAGCATGACTTGGAAATCCAAGTCCATGAAATCCCGTAATGCGCACGATGAGCAGAGGGTCAACTCCTGTTTTATTCGTATCACCGTCGCCCTCATTTTTGTATATAAAAACAGAAAGTTTGAATAGAAAGAATGATGGAACAATTCATTAAATTGTCTCCTGCTTTCCTCTGTTTTTTTTTTTTCCAGTAGGGCTAAATCGTGGGAACTTTATTCGACGCTGCAAACAAAACAAACAGAGATGAGCCGGTCTCTATGAGTTAGAAAAATGAAGTCTCTAAAGAGTTTGAATACTCTTTGAGATGATTTTATTGAGAAACCACTAAAGGTTTATATACAAGTTTCATTGTCAATACAAAAGGAAAAATAATCTATGCAATAAAGGAGAATTCCCTAGATCAAGCCTATAATTAAGAAAAATTACAATCAAATCAATTAAAATAACCAAGTCAATCAAATCATATCAATTGAAATGGTAATCATGATAAATTAGAATCAATAATTAAGATAACCTTCATTACTCCCCTTCAAGTTGGAGCATGCAGATTTGCAATGCCCAACTTGATCAATAAGTCATGGAACCGATTCCGTCCAAGAGCCTTGGTGAAAATATCTGCCAATTGAGAACTGTGATGAAATTGACCGTGGAACAAGAGTCTTAGACTGGATATGCTGCCTAATAAATGACAATCTATCTCGATATGTTTAGTACGCTCATGAAAGATCGGATTTGCTGCAATATGGATTGCTGCCTGATTATCACAAAAGTGGAACCGGTGTTGGGTGTGAGACATTAGATCTGCCAATAGCCTGAGAAGCCACAAAATCTCACTTGCGTGGTAGCCATGGCCCTATACTCTGCTTCTGCAGAGAGCGAGAGACAACTGACTGTTTCTGGATCGCCATGAAATAGGAGATGAACCAAGGAAGATGATTGTCCAGTAGTTGACCTTCGTGTTGTTGGGCAACCTGCCC